TTGAAGATTCAATCACAGCTATATGAACTAATTGAGCTTTAGTATCAATACCAAGGAGCTCAAAAGTGTCCTGCCACTAAGGTAAATCAGGACTATTTATTTTTTATAATATTTATTATCCTTTTGAAACCTAGTGAATTCATGGCATGGCACATGAAGTTGAATTTTATCTATTTTTCCAACCCAAAGAAATATTGGCAAAAATATTTAAAGGGGCTTTAGGACTCTTATTTGTTTGTTGGTCAACTGGATTATTCTTCTGGACCAAATCTGGTCTACTTTTATTGTGTTTGAAAATGGGCAAGATCTGGCCAGGGCTGGATAGGAAGAAGAAAGTTTAAAATTCCTATATATCCCTATAGAAAAGGCACTTGGGTAGCAGCTCAAAATTTGCTATTTCCTCAGTTCTAAGCTCTCCTGCCACCTTTTATCTGGTGATATTATCAAGAACAGAGCTTGATTGAAAAAAAGCATCCAAAAGCTATGGTTTGTATGCTATCATTATTTATGGCAATTTATGTTAAAAGCAAAGATAAAAGTAGATTTAATTGAGAAAATAGAATCTGTAAGGAGTGATAAGAAAGAGATGGAGCAACATGACTACAAAATAATAGATTGAGACTTACCTAAAGGACTATGGAGGGGATAACAAGATCTCTTACTGTATTTATAAAAAGCCTTTGTAAGAAGGCTTGTATAGACATAAAGGTTTCTGAAAATCTTCACCTTCACTGTTAGCATTAAATGTAACTGAACCCAGATTCAATGTAATTGGAGTTGCTAAAATTTTCTGATGATGCAAGATAATATTATGTCCCAACATCAAGATAATTTGTTGATGGAGACAGGACATTTTCTGTGACAAAAAATTGGCTAAATTTTGGCTCACTGTCGGAAGGTTATATTAACTCTACCTTTAATAATATCAAAAAGGTGACAATATTGTTTGGCAGGACTGTCTCACCTAAATATCAAATTAATAAATATTTCAAATATACTGTCTATCAGATTAAATCTACCCTTAAAAAGTAAATATGATTTAGACAGTGTGAATGTTTATAATTAAATGCCTTTGAACATGTGTTCCTCTTTTTCACTAAAAAAAGTTAAGATTTGTTTTAAAAAGTAGCTCATAAAATAGAATGCAGAGTTATTATATCAGTGACTCTGACAGGCTTTATTATAAGTGCAGGACAATTAAAAAAAATAAAACTTGCACATTTGCAAATCATGCAAATCCTTGTATGAAGATTTAAAATATATGCTCCTAGTAGCTCAAGGCCTCATGTAGTCTCTGAAAGAGTAAGCCAGAATACATATTAGCGCAAATGTCAAGATACATGTTAATGCAAATACTAATCCACATTGAAAAATGTTTTCCATTAGTTTTTTTTTCATAAATCTGCAGAACAATACCCCTGTCAAAATCTCTTCTACTGGGATATCTTTAAATTCCATCAAATAATTATTTTAAACAAACTCATGAACTAAAATTCATTCAGAATATACCTGGCATATATATGTACCTTTTTCTCATTTTGAATCTTTAAACTAAATATAAATAACAAGTATGTATTCAAATTTCGAGCTGTCATGTTTTATTCTGTACCATGTAGAGGTTATGCCAGCTTCTATTGTTTCTTATTTATATATTTATTGCATTTGTATAGCTGCCCATCTCAATTACATATGACTCTGGTCTAGGCAGTGTACACAGTTTAAAATGGAACTAAACAATCAACATAAAACCTTTTTCTTTTTTTCAGTTGGGTCAGATTCTTGGAGATTGCCTGGACAAATCGTTACAGTTTTGTTGACAAGTTTTTAAAGAAATTGTTTGTCATTGCCTTCTTCCTAGGTCTAAGAAAAAGTGAGTGGCCCAAATTCATGCAGCTGGTTTTGTGCCCAAGGCGGACTTAGAACTCACAACCCTTCGGTCTCTAACCTGATGCTTTAACTATTACATAAGCTGGCTCTCATTACAATTCAATCAATAAACCTATTAAAAACAATTAATAATAGAATAACAAAAAGATAGGGAAGAGTCCAGTCTAAATTTATACCAGCCATTTAATAAATTCCATGCTTCTGTGGGATCCCCAGGCTCAATGGCAAAACCAAGTTTTGAAAGCTTTCCAAAATTGAAAATAAAATTTCAACAGAGGTTCTTAAACATTTGCATTTATTGGTGTATGTGTGCGTGCACACACACACACACAGAGGTAGTCCTCATTTAGTGACCACAATTAGTATTGGCAACTTTACTAGTAAGCAAAGTAAGTTTTAGTTAAGTTTTCACTAAGTGAAAACGTAACTAACTTATGATCTTATTTCAGCTATCTTTTGCTTTACAGATCTGTGAAGGTCATAAATGCAAGGACTGGTAATAAAGTTACATTCTCATTAGCAACTAAGAATGGTTTCTAAGCCAGCCAGTTACTGAATGAGGACTATATATTGAAACTTGATGGCCAGAGTATTGGAGATTTTGTTAAAAATAAGAAACAGGAGAAGCGTCTACATGAAGTCTACTTGGTTTAAAATTTCAAGATTTAGAGGAATACCTTATTCCATATGTCTGTTCCTTAAGACTATAACAGAGGCACCTCAAATGGTAATCTGAAGAACTGGTATGGAAAGGAAAGCTTTTCCATTAGTGGCTCTCCTTTATGATCACTTTCCTAATGTTCATGTTATAAGGATCTTATATTGCTAATTGCTATAATCTTTTTGTGTTTATTTTTATAAAAAATACATATTATTAAATGACTAACAGAATAAATAAGACTGCATATTAAAATTAATACAGTAATTTGGCTTATGTGAATGGTATACTTTATAAATAAAATTTGCCCTAGGGAATGCTTCTGTTAAATATATTGCCTCTTAGTTAATTATTTATAAAATGTAAACCCCCCCCCCCCGAATTGCCTTAGCTGTTTACAATGTACAACAAAAACATCACTAATATTTATTCAAAGATATGTATAACTAATAATAGATATATAATGCAAAATATAAATAATGGCACTAAAAGTCATGAGAAATAAGTATGGCATATATCCATTCTTTAACTTTAGTAGTAAGAGCCACATTTCCCTCAACTTTGGTGCTAATTTATCCACATAATAAAGGTCCTAACATGCAGAAAATTGAATTAGTTATTGACCTCAAAAACATACATATTTCTACATGTATTGTTTTAATTATATTCATTTTATAGAGCATTCTTCTTAAAAGTGGAATCTGCAGAAATACATGTTAAAGTTAACAGGAACTTCAGTAAACAATTTTATTTCTTTCAAATACTAATGCTTATCAAGTCATAGAATGCAATGTTATTGCAAATAAAGGTTCTTTTATCATCAAATCTAAAAGCCAAACCATTTCAGAGTTTTTATGATATGTAAGTTTAATTGGACTGACAAAACTACATTTAGACAGGCCTATTCTTTATCTGACTGTTTTATTGCTTGAAACAATTGTCATGAGAGACTGAAGAAACTACTGGTACTTTAAGGAAAGTCAACAAAACGTATTAATTTTCTTGGCAGTGACATTCATGTAACATATACATCAGGGAATGTTATAATTCAATAGCAGATCATATGTTTTGTATTCCAAACATTCTAACACCAGCTACTGGAATCTCTAGATAACATTGGCAAACATTTTATCTGAAAAGTTATCTGAAACATTAATTACTTGCTGCACCAACAGTCAGATACTTTATGAGGCAACTTTCTCCTATTCCTTATTTATTAAGAATAATTACAGTGTATAAATCCTTATCATAAGGCAAAGTCACAAGATGTCTCTCTCCCCCCCNGCTGTCCTATCTGCCACTGTGCAATTGGCAAACCATACATAAATGCAGTAAGTTAGAATACTCTCTATGGTGCAAGGGTAGAAGGTCAATGGCAGTTTTTCATTCAGTTGTTGTTTCCTGAGAAGTCTCAGGTAGTATATTCTCTGCTGTGCCCTTTTGACCAGTGTTGCAATGTGAGTGCCCCAGGTCAGGTCCTCTTTTAAGATAACACCCAGAAACTTAAAACTGCCCACTTGCTCTACTTGGTCTCCATTGATAAGCAAGGGCTGGACGTCTGATCTATTCCTTCTTTAGTCCACTATAAGCTACAAATATAGGTTACAAATATGCAATTGGAAAATGTATGCTAAACATCTTGAGTGGCTAAAAGGTGCTGCTTAGATTATGAACTTGATTTTCTAATATGCAAACTTGGTATAATATATATTGAATTGAGTGTGCATTACCATATTGTTAGAAGCTGGAACCATGTACATGTTTAGGTCCTTGCTGTCGGAATTAAGAAGTGATGTTGTATAGAAAATGTTTATCCATATGATGTTTTTACCTGGGTGAGATAATGAAGTGTTGAGGAGAAGGGAAGAATGCAACAATGAAAGAAAGAAATATTCTTGTAACTGTTGGCTCTGCTCTTCCACAAGAGATGACACATAATATCTAATAGGCCTACAATAGCAAAAGTTTAAAGCTGCTTTATCAGTTAATGCAATGGCATAGGGTTATTCATGCAATCTAGAGAGCAAATTGAAATGTTGCTGTAGGTATATAGAGTTTGTTTTATAGGACTAGCCATATTATTATGAAATTATGGAAACATAAGAAGTTACCATTGTTTAAACTGGCAAAAAGGTGAGCTGGTTGCCAAGTGTCCAAAATGTGGATATGTGACCCTGGGTGTATGTGTGGGTGAGATAACTCAGAACAGGGTGGTAGGTATGGTAGCTAAAGTTAAAGGCTACCTGTATAACATAGCTGGCTGTAAGATGAAACGAATGCTTATCATTTTAGTTCTTTCATAAGATTAATCAAAGAACAGAGATATATTGAAATAATTTTATATATTATATCTGTTTTCCAGAAGATTTAATAATTATTCCATTAATTTATTAGTAAAGTACATTGGAAGAGACAAACTAGTTATATTTGTAAAAGTGTATAATTTTCATTGCAGAAATGGATGATGAAGATTGTGAAAGAAGAAGAATGGAGTGTTTAGATGAGATGTCTGATCTTGAAAAACAGTTTACAGATCTGAAAGATCAGTAAGTAAACCAATGATCTAGAACTCCTCTTAAGTGCTAATTCATCTTTCTTATCTATCTAAATCAGACTGCTCATTAGCTTTTGGTGAATCTCTGAGCAACTTACAACAGAACAAGAGTTTTTAAACTGCCAGTTATTTATGAATTACTACAATTAAAAAAGAATTCTTTTCTTAGGACCCTGAAACAAAGAAAATGTTAGATAACTCNTTGTGGACTTCAACTCCCAGAATTCTCCAGACAGCATAGCTCACCAATTTTGTTGTTAATTTCAAACAAGATGCAAAATGTGTTAATCTCCCTGCTCCAAATCTGTGTTTAAAACAGGTAGAGCAAATTTGGCAACTTTTAAGACTTGTGGACTTCACCTCCCAACATAGCTGGCTGGAGAATTCTGGGAGTTGAAGTCCACAAGTCTTAAAGTTGCCAAGTTTCGGGACCTCTGACGTAGACCCTTCAGTAGCCTCTCTTCCACCCTCTCCTTGCCCTACTTCTATTACCTACTACTACTGGGATCTACAAGCCTTCCCACGAAAGACTCCATCTCCCGAAATCCTCAGCAACATAGAACCCCCGCCCAACCACGCCCGACTAAGAAACCCCGCTCCGCCGGCGAGGAATCCCCACCAATCAGCGACCGAGAGGCGGGTCGAGCGGCGCGGCCCTAAGGTGGATGGCGGGGTTTCGATGGGGCGGAGCTTCGGCGCGTTAGAGGGCCGGGCTGGCGAAGCTGCCGTCCTGGGTCTCCAAGCGGGTGACGCCGGGCGTCTGCCGAGAGCGGGCGCGATGCCGGTCCATTCGAGGGAGAAGAAAGAAAACAACCACGATGACATGGAGGTGGACTACGGGGAGAACGAGGGCAGCAGCTCCGAAGAAGAGGAGTCGGAGAGCTCGTCCGTCTCCGAGGAGGGCGACAGCTCAGGTGAAGCGGGGAAAGAGCTCCTCCTGGGCGGCACATGCTAGAGCGGATCTGCCTCGCCTGGGGTTAGATGGGGGCAGAAGGGAGGAGGGCTCAGCCCCGCCCCGTCCGGCTCTGTTGGTGTGCCGGGGGTGGGGGCGATTCCGCGGTTTCTGCAACCCTTGTGGCCCCTTTCGGTATTTCCTCCCACTCCTTCGCCCCGGGGCGACTTGTTAGGGAAGCCCCCTCGCCCCCCTGGGCTTCTACGCCCCCTCACCTGGGCGGGCAAGGCAATGGCCTCACTCTCCTAATAAGTTTCCCTCCCGGGCTCATTGGGGGGAGCTATGCTCTCCTTTGCCTCGAATTCCCCCTCCCTCATTCGGTGATAATATAAACCTACGATGTGATGTATTGTCTGCAACCAGCCCCGGGGGGAGAGGGTGGGAGGTGGCAGAGGAATTTCTATAAGCTGTAAAAGAGTTGATTTGGTGTGGCACCCAAAAAAAGAAAGAAAGAGAGGGAGGGAGGAAGGAAGAAGAAAGAAGGAAGGAAGAGAGAGAGAGAGAAAGAAAAGAAAGAAAGAAAGAAAGAAAGAAAGAAGAAACGCAAATGCATCCAGGCAGATAGGCAATTCTTGGACGAGTGGCTTTATGGACTAAATTGCAAGATGGAACTACTAGTAAGAAGGCTGCAGTTTTGTTATCTTGCTGTTTTCTACTTCCCTTTAAAGAACAAGTGCTTTGTGTATTGCCATTGTCTTCTACAAACAGGGGATGCACCAATATAACTTAGTTTGTTGAAGCCTCTATTATTGTTTTTTTCTCTGTGTACCAAAATCTTTTGAATGTTCCATATTTGTTTGTCTGAGAAATATTCACAAGGCATTTTTCTATCCTATCTTTTTTAGGGTTAAGGTTAAATGGCAATGGTTTCAGTGCACAAAAAAACAAATTAAACATAAAACAAACTGCAAAACAGTAACTTAAAATGTTATTTGTCTTTTTATTCAATACCTTCGGTCACTGGCTCTAAAGCTCACCTCACCTCATAGGATTGGGAGAATAAGAGAAGGTATTAGGCATATTTGCTTGTCCAAAGTATTTTAAAAAACCATGAGTTAGTATGCCTAATATGGAATTCTTACCTTTAATGTTTTTCTACTAAGTATATGTTGGACACTTAGAAGTAAAGCATACTGAGCTTAATGATGATACATTTCAGAATATGGTTGGTTCAGTTTAGCACTTTAGGTATTATGCCTATGGCATCCTAAGGTATTAGGATATTGGACTGGGACCAGGGAGCTTCCATGACTGAGTGTAGAATATGGGTCTACCAATCCTGGAGGAATGAGAGAATGTAAATTTAATCAATAAATTATATTCAGTGCATATCATATATTTAGATATTGCGGGAATAAATGCAATAACTTAGTTACTATAATTTGTGTTGCTTATTTTTATTAAGTTAAAATACAGTATGAGTAAATATATTCTGTGGAAAGGATTCTGAGGATATTTTCCACCCACAATGTATTCGCATCACAGATGCTATTGCAGAGATATTTTTCTGTCCATTACATCCTTCATTAAAATCAATTTGGGTTTGATTCCTGATGACTTCATAGACCCCTGCAGTTTTCTTAGTAAGATTATGGAAAAGGTTTATAATGAATGGTCTTTGGAAGGTGATCCCCTCCCTCTCCCGTTTTTCAGTCTACTCTACAACCCTGGAATTCTCCCTTTCAAGGCCTAACCAGACATCACCCTGTGAACTTAGTCCAGGCCAACTAGTGCTATTACATGTTGACATGCATCCTTTTCCACTAATGTAGGAATAAATTTTTATTTCACTATATGCTGCTAACAATAGGACAACATAAAACAGGGCAGCCTATTAAAAAGTACAGATGGAGATGCTTCTGCTAGTTAAAGACATTGTCAGGCTACTTGTTTTTCATGTCTTACTTTGGGAAGGTTAGGGTTTTTGTTTCTTGTTTAATTGTGTCTTTAGTTACAATTAATGTTTATGCGCTCTGTATGAGGAAAAACAATTTCTGTATGTATCTCCAGCATTCCTAAGAGTTATTAAACTATAATAGTATGCTCTCAAGTTTCTCCTGCTTCGTTTCAATAGTGAGGAGGCACCAAAAATTCCTCTTTTTCGTAACTGCTCTTTATTTTGGTGTCAATCCAGACAGATAGGAATAAAATCTATTACAATTTATTGGAATGGGAAATATTTTTTTAATCTTTGGGTCAAAAGGTCATCTCTATTAGTTTACAAAACGGATCTAAAGTAATATTTTGTGGCATCTAATCTTAGCAGTTGGAGGTAATTCTTTTAGCTTTAGTAGGTCTGTGTCTACTTAATATTTCTCAACCTTGGCAATTTTAAGATAATGATGGGTAAGAAATTCTGAGAATTTAAGTCAACAGAAGATGTCAAGGTTGAGAAACCTTGAACTAATTCCACTGCTGAAAAGAAGTCATTACAGTGGAACAGCACTTATACCACAGAAGATGCATCTAAATACAGAATCTCATATATTCTTGGAAGACTTCAGAACAGCATTTTTCAGGGAGGAATGGAGGAATATATAATAAATAGAATGATTCACCCCTTAGTTTCCTTTATACTTCTGGAAAGACCCCTTAATTATGTTATCCGCAAGCCAGTTATAGACCCCTTGGAATTGGAGGTTGCATGCATGCAAAACAGAAAGCCAGGGTTCTAAAGACTTTCATTGATGCCTTAAGTTAAACAACTGATTAAACTAGGTTTCCTCAGTAGGTGTAATTATCTTATACAGATTTTAAAAAATCGATGTCTAAAACACTTTTGAAAAACTCTGGGATAGTTTTGAATAAATCAAGAACAATTAATAAATGCAATAAAATTATTAGAATGTCTAATTGTTAACATTAATAACCTTCCGCATCATTTTTTCCATTATATATTTTAAAGACTTGTTAATCAGCGAATGCAGGAGGTTCTGAATTTTATCTAATATGTACTTGATAAACTCAATTTTTAATTGTGGAAGAAAATGAATTAGTTTTAGAAAAACAAATTGGAATTTTACTGCCCAAATTTGTGAGTATATTAAATTGCTTCTCTTAGAGGGACATACTGTATAACATGTTAACACAGTACTACACAAATTCAATAGAGATGGCAAAAATAAAATTTTCAAATAAAAAAAATGTTGACGGGTCAAGGAAAAATATTCATTTAATTGACTCTTAAACAGTGAACAGAAAACAGAAACAGAATAACATAGTTGGAAGGGACCTTGGAGGTCTTCTAGTCCAACCCCCTGCTTAGACAGGAAACCCTACAAATAGACAAATAGTTATCCAATATCTTCTTTAAAACTTACAGTGTTGGAGCATTCACAACTTCTGGAGNAAGATTAAGTAGATTCCATGCCACCGGAGGCAAAGTTTTAGTAAATGTATTTGTCTCTAAAATGTCAAAATATTCTTGTCTGACCCAACAGCATAACACAGCAGCCTCTCTGGAAATTGTCAGAAACAGAGACCAGAAAACTGTAAACTGTTCATTAAATGGAACAGCAGAGAGAAACAAAGAGACACAAATTTCAGTATTAGGGACTATCCAGGTGGTCACTTCATGCAACTACACAAAAGCCAAACAATTCAGATCGAACAGTATCCCTTTCTCTTTTAGATGTCTGAAGCATCACAAAGTGTTTTTCTGCAATCTAGACAACAGGTGCTCGAAGTTACATGGCAGTACACTAGTTTTCCAAACTAGGACCTTCTGCACAGGACCTCCTACATTAACCACAGCAATGAAAGCTTCTTAATCCAGTTGAGGAAAGCACATCCTATACCCTGTTGGAAAGTCGAATTAAAATATTCTGGTGACAGACACAGCAGGGAATCTACCTCATCTCACATGCCTATAAACAGGGAGTAAACAAGGGGTAAACCTAGGCTTGCAAAATAGAACAGAACAGAATCGAATTCTTTATTGGCCAAGTGTGATTGGACACATAAGGAATTTGTCTTTGGTGCATATACTCTCAGTGTATATAAAAAGACAAAACAAACAAACACCCCCCCCCCCACGATGATTTCAGCTAATTTCAGGTATTTCTTCCTTTGGCCTCCCCATATTGCCCTCAGTTGTCATGCCAACAAAGCCTTGGAGCCTCTTGGGGCTCATGGGGGGGGGGGGGGGAAGAAAAAGCACCTATTTTTCTACATCCCAATGCGCTGTTGACACCTCCTCAGGTGAAATAATTCTCCTCAAAAAGAAGTAAAATGCTGTATAGAGAGGAAAGAGCTCCCTGCGCAAAAGAGGATCCGATCCTTCCCTCGGGCTACACAACCTGGTCCAAAGAGACGCAGACACAGAGAGCGAGAGGGAGCAACCCCTGCTGCCAGGGTCCTGCACCTCAAGCCCTTAAGCTCCCCCTTCTCACCGATAACCACGCGCAGGTGCTTCAGCCGGGTCAGTGGGTCCTTGCGGGTATCCAGCACCTTCTGGGTGGATTTCCGCACATCGCCGTGCGGCTTCTTGGAGAACATCCCGACTGCCGAGCGCTCGGGGATGGGTCGTCGCGGTTCCCGGTCCTCGGGCTGTTGGTGCACCAATCGCCGCCGGGGACCCCCCGCCCCCTCTCCTCCCCGAAAGCTCGGGAGGAGAGAGCCGCGGCCTTGAAATCCGCCCCCCTCCCTCCCTCCCCAATTCGGCTTTCCCTACATAGCCGAGGCGCTGCCTCGAGGCTTCGAAGCAAAGGGGGTGCGGCCGGCGCAATCCCAGCGAAGAGCAGGACTGGGAGACCGGGGAGGGATGGCTTTAGGCTTCCCCCCCGCTCAGCATCGCGTTACTCCTCCTCCTTCCCTAGCCCTCCGTGTTCGTCTCATTTCACGACAGCCGTCGGGCGCGAATGCGAAGGTCCCCATGACAACTCCTCTCCTTTGAGGTCATCACTGGGAGACTTGTTTATTCGCCTCTCCTCAATCGTCGCTTGTCTTTTAGGTCATGGGATAACTTGTCTTTATGGAGGTGGGGTGGGTGGGGAGGGAACCGATTTAGAGAACAGGGATGTTTTTTGGAAATCTTCGAAGACCGATGTCGTAGCTGGGTTACTAAATTATTACACAGCAGTGGTGTGCGTAGTCTGCAATTCTGTTTTGGTCCTAGGAAGTCCCTTCCACTAATGATTCTATGCTAACTTTTGCCTATTTTAGATGTGCAAAAGTTTAGACAACAGCCAAACGAAAGTGTAATGATAGATGACTCCGGAATTCAATATATAAAAATTGGCAGAAAAAGAAAAAAAATTGAAGCACGGATCATTTTTATTATTAGAATAATGTGTCAATAATCAAAGTACCATATAGGATTTGCAAAAAATCTGAACACCACTGGATGGCAACAAACGGCCAAAAAAGTGCTTTGCTGCCATCTTATGGTCCAGATTATATTATTCAGACTTAATTTATCTTGTTCAAGTCAAGTCAATGGAGCTGCAATCATATGGCAGGTCCTTTGTTTTAAGAAATGCCGTTCAGATATTAAAAAAAACCAAATGTAAAAATCACCTGAGAGAATTCACACTATATATCCTCTCTGCTACACAGCAAATGGCATAATAATGTGCAGCATATAATATAGGTAATATAGGTATGTGGTTGCACTGCTATATTCAGTCTTCTATCTTCCTTCAATGTGGACAGAAATTGGGTGAGCAATTTTCAGGCTTTATTAAACTCTTTGAAAGTTTAAATGTGGTTCCTGATAATTTGCCCTTACATATGGCAAATAGTGACATGTACAAATCTTGCTTGGTCAAGATTTGAATTTCATTTTCTGGGAAGAATAAATGTTTATTTATTTGTGACCCGCCTTTGTTTTTATGAATAACTCAAGGCGGTGAATATATCCAACACACCTTCCTCCTATTTTCCATACAGCAACCACCCTGTCAAATGGGCTGGGCTGAGAGAAAATGACTGGCCCAAAGTCACCCAGCTGTCAAAGTTTCCCAAATGGCTAGCCTGGTGCCTTAATCACTATTTTCCTATGTTTTCCTATGTCTCACACTGGCCAAGCTTAATTCAGTTTAGAATCTAGCATTTGACTAGCTATTATATGTCCTCCTGTCATAACTAACCTTTTTTTAGTTGAGAAAGTTTTGTCTATATCATATGTCACCCCAATCAACATTCACAAAACTCAAAAGGAGTAAAGGAACTCCTTTTCAAGTTTTCATCTATATTTGCATGATCTAGTATTTGACCAAGCTTTGCAGCTCATCATGTCATCTGAATGCAAAACAAATATCATTTGGGTTTTCCACCACTTGGGACCTGTGTGCAATAACTTTTTTCTTTTCTTTTTATCTGCCACTCTGCCCAATTTAGGCACACCCTGTTGCCCACCATTCTTGCTATCACTGTTTGATATGCTACTTCTCTCATATACTTGGCCATACCACTTATCAATCCAGTTTGGCATCTACTGGAGATAGGCAAGTGAGAAGACATGTATTATACAGTAATGAAATACGTGTGTGTGTGTGTGTGTGTATACATGTGTGTATGGAGTGATTAAACTTTACTAGGTAGTCTTTTCTCTACCTATTGACTGACAGTGAATTCCACATGCATCTGGTTAAAAAGAACTTGCCCTGCTCTTTTGTGAGTAA